GATGTCATTGTGTTCTCACAAAAAAAAAATAATGCTGGATATAATATAATACAGGATTAGGAAGTTCTTTCTGGTTCAAACACATTTTTAAGTAGATCCTATAGTTTCTGCATTCAAGTCACCTTAAATTCTAATAGAGTGTATTCTCCCAAACCTCAGAAAATAACTGCTAAATTCCTCCATACATAATATGTGATTGCATCAGTAATAGGGAATCAGTCATCTGATTTGTTAATAAATGTTTGAAGTGCCACTTTTAAATTGGGTTTTTTGGGAGAACAAAATCTATTAGGGACCGGGCTTAACAGGTGTATTAACAATGTCTGTCACAGAGAGCTGCTAAATGGTAAATGGACTGCACTTATATAGCGCCTTTCTATCTTATTTCAAGATACTCAAAGCGCTTTATACTACAATCTGTGTCCTCATTTACCCATTCATACAGCGCTCTACTAGATCTCTACAAAGCTAATTGAACTAATCATTCTAATGAGGCTAATCAGTGCTTTATCACATTCATACACCGATGAGACACACATCAGAGGCTATGAGGGGTTCGGTGTCTTGCCCAGGGACACTTTGACATTTGACTGCTGTTGGATTCGAACCCCCAACTCTTGCATTGCAGGACAACCGCTCTAACCACTCAGCCACAGCTGCTAAAGTGTTTAACATAGAGCTAGGAAAAATACGACTTCAATGGATCTCACATAAGGCCCTCGATATTTCTGGTTGGTAAAGAATAATGGTAAATGGACAGTACTTATATAGCACCTTTCTATCTAATCAAGATACTCAAAGCGCTGTACAAAACAACTGTATCCTCATTTACATCCACACACATTCATACAGCACTCCACTTTCACAAGCAGAGCATTATGGCTGGCCTTAATGCTCTGCTTGATCTATAAATAAAACTTTATTAGAATTGCTATGGGTTTGTTTCAGATGTAATGGACACTGGGATGAAAAACAAAAAAAAAGACAAAGGCAGAAAAGTGGGAGAATGGTTAAATGGGAAAGAAGGAGAAAGGAGTAGAAGAGAGAGAGAGGCATAAAGAGAACACAAATCAACATCATTGAAGTCTGCCTGTAGACCTGCAGAAAGTAAAAAAAAAAGACAAAACCGAGAAACCACAACAACAAACAACATATGTATATATAATGATACTTATAACTAGGGCTTTAACAGACTACTCGAGTAATCGACAGGTTGGTTCCTAGGACATCTATCGAGTTTTTTTAATTTCACGTCAAGTATTCGCAGTGACGTCATTACATCGCAGTTACATCATTGCGTCACGTGTCACATGATCTGCTAGTAGAAGCTACCAAATGGATTCCTCCCTGCAGATGGACTGAGCGAAGCAGGCCCAGTCTTGACAAACAGGTAGAAATGCATCAATAGTCTGGAAATATTTCACTAAAGATGAATCTTCCAGTTCAACTACCATAAGGAAATAGAAAATGAATCAACTTCCTGACTGTTTGGAGCTCGTTGCGAACCGGTGTTATAACATTTTCTGTGACCACCGTATATTGTGACCGTAGGGGGCGGTGTTGCATGCACTGTTGCAGGTCACAGAATATGGTGTAACACCGGGTCCAATGACCGAACCAGAACCAGCTTCCTCTGACCTTGTTTCACCCCAACAGAGACGCCCAGGCACGCTGCCATCGTTGACAAAGGACTGGCCATCGCAACCAGGAACCTTGATCAAAAATCCGAACGACCCAGGGAGAACGGGAGCACCAGCCCCACCCCCAACTGCCCTCCCCCTTCCCCAGGACCCAAAGCCCACCCACAGCCCAGACCCCAACCAGGCGGCCTACCCCCCCATCCCTGCCTCGACCCCAAATGTCAAACAGAGAACGGGGGTGTGAGGAAAAAAACTATACATCTATAAATAGTAATAGTGACTAGATTTCAAGGTTCAAGGTTCTTTATTGTCATTCGTATCACATGTGGTACATGAGGCGGAACAAAATTGTGTACCCAAGGTCCCAGTTACACCCAGAAATAGCAAAAATATAAAGTATAAAAAGAAATGGCATAAGGATCTAAGATATACGCTAAGATTATACGCTAAACAAACGCTAAACAAAACACTAAAAGATCTAAGAAATATGCTAAACACTAATAATGTAAAATAATACGGTATATTAAACAGCAGACTTCTTATCTGACATGCTTGTAAAACAAGTGCTATCCATGGAGCTGATGCTATTACTGGTACTTAATTTCCTGTCTGGAGCAAAGGCAAGACACTAGACTGGTTAAAGTCTTGCCTGTCTGACAGGATCTGTAAACAAATAATTTGTTTTTAATTTCTGGAGATCCACAAGGATCTATTCTTAGACCAATTATTTATTGATATTTTCCATTTACATCCAACAATGTTCAGTCAGGTCATCTGGACGGTTTATTTTTTTGTGCTGAGACGTGTTGACATGACTGTCAACGAGGGAGAGGGCGAGCCTCAGAGGAGAGGGCGGGCCTCAGAGGAGAGGGTGGGCCTCAGAGGAGAGGGCGGGCCTCAGAGGAGAGGGCGGGCCCCAGAGACCATCTTAGCGCCATCATAACTGTGTTTTGGAATATGCTATTGGTGGATACTCAGTTTTATTTGGTGGTTCCTCAGACTGAAGTCCGTTGGATGAAGGACAAAACGTCTGAGCACAAAAAAGAAACCGTCCAGATGAACTGACTGAACATTGTTGGATTTTATACCTGGATTACTTTGGTGTTTCCATTTACATGTTTCCCCTAAGGTACAATTTAACCAAATAGCATCTCTTTACATTCCTAGGCAAAACTCACTTATCACAAAGTCACTTCAGTTCCTCTGCAATTGTTCTTTTTTATGGAAACCTAAAGTGAAATCCTTTTAAATTTTTAAGGGCGATCCATACTATCCATCTCTGGGTCATTATAACTCATACAATGGCATTAGCTGTGCCTGTTTCTTGCATCTGCAGGTGGTCTAGAATTTGTCAGCTCGTCTTTTAACACAAACAAAAATGTCTGAGCATATCTTTCCAGTGTGTTTCCCTTCATTGGCTTCTTGTTCATTTTAGAATTGATTTTAGTTTTATTGATGACCTATAAGGCCCAGAATGGGCACGCTCCTGATAGTCTGTTTGACTTCCTGCAGCCTTATAAGCCCTCCAGCTCCCTTTGATCTAATAATTTAATTAATTGATTAATTTATATAGCAAAAGTATACAACAAAAGCCATCTCAGGGCACTATTCAAAAGAAAAACAAGTCCACATCATAATTCCAATTCAAAACCAGATTCAATCTAATTAGTCAATTGAACTCCTATTATTAGAATACCATACATTCACATACAGTACATTATGGAACGCCAATTTGTAAAAGCCATGTATTTGATGATTTATCATTTGAATAATTTCCAGGCTAGTCCACAGAGGTGATCGGGCCTTTTCAGTTGTAGCTCCTAAAATGTGGACCCAACTTCCCTAACATATCAGACAGACGCCAACTCTCAATATTTTTAAACCTCATCCTAAATCACATCTGTTCTCATCGGCTTTTAAATCAGCATAACTCATCATTTTTTAACCCATTTAATGTCTCATTTTTTAAAATAATTTTTATAACTTTTAAAATTTTATTGTTTCTTTTTATGGTCCCTTGTCCTTTCTTTTCTTAATATTTTATATACATCACTTAGGCCTGTGGCAGTGGTATCCTTCATTTCCAGGCTTGAACTGACAAACACTATCCAAGGAGGTTTTTCATCCTCTTCAATTCATTTTATTTTTTTCAGTTTGATCCTCTAAATAATTAAAAAGCTTCTTTTCTGTTTTGTGTACAGTATTCTATCGAGTGGCGGGGAACAGGAAGGGAATTTTCACTCGGCAAAGGCAGCCCAAGGCAGCAGCCTTCCTCCTGAAAGAGAGATACTGGAAACTGGCAAATGAAGCAGGCAAACTGGGTCATTGAAACAAGTACTCCACATACAAGTACCACACTACCTCAACTATTACCTCAACTACTACCTCAACCAAACTATTTCCTGCTTGTGGAAGATGTCATGGTTTACACTTGGAGTCAAGTTATTATGATTTAATAATGCCTACATGTAGACACTTGGCATAGTCTGTAATAGAAGATGTAACTGGGTGGATAAGTAGAACCAGATTTTTATGGTCTTTTCGGTTTTTACTTTTATTATCTTTTGAATGTTGACATCTTTTTTAAAATTGAGATTAGTATTCTGAAACGTGTCTGGAATAATTGTGTAACTTAGATGATAAACAGAAAATGTCCAACTTTGTGCAATTTTAAGAATGAAAATGCAACTATGCTGTGTTAAGAGTCGGAATCTTAAAACATAAACTGTTATAACTACAGTATATTTTTATTTCTGTCACTATTTTGTTAAAGAAATTTTAATGTAAACGTTAGTGGCTTTTCCGAGTGCAAAAACAAGTATAAAATGGGTATAATGTGGATAGACAGTATATAAGACATCTGACATATGTATGATATATACTTTCATATTTTTATGAAAGTTGAACAAAAAACTATGGAAGCCCATTTCCATCATGAATGAAAAAATAAAAGCCCAACAGGAAGTCATAATTTCGACTTTTAAAGTCATAATTATGAGAATAAAAGTCATAATTTTGAATTTTAAAGTCATAATTACAAGAATAAAAGTCATAATTTTGAGTTTTAAAGTCATAATTACGAGAATAAAAGTCTTAATTACGAGTTTTAAAATCATCATTTCAACTTTTAAAGTCATAATTATGAGAATAAAAGTCATAATTTCGACTTTTAAAGTCATAATTTCGACTTTTCTAATTTAACTTTGAAGTTTGTCCCTTGCCGGACACCATGACTCTACAGGGATGCAACTTCCCGTTAGACACCGGTAGTTTTCCTGCATAGCACATGGATTCATTCATTCAATGTATGTCCCTCTGCCTTCATACATCAATCCTTTTAAATAAAAGGTATGTAATGTATACATCTTTTTATCGCCACTTTATATAGCATTTAGTATCAAAGCCCATTTCCTCTATGAAATAAAAGCCCAACAGGAAGTCAGTTAAGTTTTAAAGTCATAATTACGAGAATAAAAGTCATAATTATGACTTTAAAACTCATAATTATGGCTTTTATTCTCGTAATTATGTCTTTAAAACTTATAATTATGACTTTTTATTCTTGTAATTATGACTTTAAAAGTCGTAATTATGACTTTAAAAATCATAATTACGACTTCTCGTAATTTTGACTTTAAAAGTCAAAATTATGACTTCCTGATGGGCTTTTATTTTTTATTTCATGGCGGAAATGGGCTTCCATAAAAAACTGATCAAATAGAAAAATTACAAACAGAAAATGATTAATGTTTTTCTACAGGTGTGTATTGTACAATCAATCAGAGATTCTTCATTTTTGTTTCTGAGATGCGTTTACTGACCCAACATTGTATTGTGTGTTCATCTAGATGTCAAATCTAAATCTAATCAGAAAGAACTGAATTTCTGTGGTAAAATAAAGGGCAAATGAATTGTTTGATGGGTTAAAAACAAAAATTCTGCATTTTAGAATAAAAATGTATCTTCTGTTTCTTGACTTTTACTGTCCTTGTGTTTCTGTGTCTGCAAAAGGCAGAATAAACTGATCTTAAATTTGTAAAAGTTGTGGAGAAAAAATTTCTAGATATAAAAGAAAACATGTATTTCTAGCTGGGCATGGGCACCAGTGGTACCAGTGACCCCCGTGACCCGAAAAGGAAGAAGTGGGTAAAGATAAAGGACGGATGTATTGAATGCATTTCTAATTAATATTGTACTTAAATAACATTTGATCTGAGCTGTGAGTATTTGTTTGTCAGTAGTGGTTCCTGTTAAACACCCATAGTTCCCTCAACCTCACCCATAACTGCCAACATTTGCTGATGACAATGAGGATGTTTATAAGCAAATGCCAGCAGCACAAAAAGGTCCTAGGGGGTCCAGGGGCAAAAAAACCTACTCAGATCAATACATTTTCAGCCATTTGAAGTGCATTTAACTAAGTTCGTAAGATGAATAAAAAACTTAAAATCATTACTTTATATGTTTATTGAAAAGTGGAACACCGACTGAGAACTAGTAAGATGAACTTCATCAGAGAGTGGTTAAGTCCTTCTATAATGCAGAGTATACATGTGTTCACAACTAGATTTTTCTGGTATCTGGTGCCCACTTGGTATTTACCAACACCTAAAACTCACCTGGCACTTACTGGACACTTACCTGATACCTGGTAGTTAACTAGTTCTGGGTAATTACCTGGCACATGGTACTGATTTGTTACCAGAAACTTACCTGGCACTTGGTGCATAGCTGGTAACAGGGCATTACCTGATACCTGGTACTTACCTTGCTTTGAACACTCATCTAGTATCTAGTACTCACCTGACGCATGAGTGTTGGCGAGACTGAAGGCTAATTCTAACAGACCGTCGATCCCATCTCTGTTCCTGGTAGGTCTGTTGCAATAAACAATAAATCAATTAATTGCATGATAAATTAAAATTATCCACACCTCATTTTCATTTATCAGCTTTATTGTTTCTTCTCTCTTTCTACTGAAGACACTGGAGGACAAATGTCTCAACTCCCGTGCTCTTCACTGACCCCTCCCTTTATCTTTTTTCTCTTTTCTTTAAAATCTGTTTTAACGGTCCAAAATCACATTTTTGGATCTTTAAAAGCAGCTCTCAAATTCTCTCATATTTCTCATAAAAGCCCTCATATTCGCGTTGTATCTCGGTGCAATGCCAATAAAGTTTATTCTTCTCTTCTTCTTCTTCTTCAAAGAGGTAGACAGCTTCAGATCTTTTTGCAGGGTGTTCCAGGATACAGAAGCGGAGTTGCCTAGTTCGGTCCACACTGAGGGTACACTGCATGTAATTATGTCCTGAGAGTGCACGCTGTAGCTGCACTCACGAAGTGACATGCAGGAGGAGATGTATGAAGGCAGCAGACCAAGAAGTGATTTAAAGATGAAAATGTACCAGTGTGAGAACCTACATGAAGTTAATGATGACCAATTCACCAGTGAAATATGGGTATGGTAGTTAGAGCCAGTTATGAATCTTAGTACACCGTGATAGACAGTGTCCAACATTTACAAAGTGCTTGCAGGATCATTCATGTAAATAATGTCATCGTTGTCAATTGAGGGAAGGAAAGTAGCAGTTACATAGAGGCATCATGAGGCATTTTTACAGCCCGCTGAAGTTGCTCAAGTAGTGCAGCTAATCCAAGATGGAACATCAATGCGAGCGGTAGCAAGAAGATTTGCTGAGTCTCTCAGCACAGTGTCCAGAGCATGGAATAAGTACCAGGAGATAGGCCAGTACACCAAGAGACATGGATGGGGGCCATAGGAGGGCTACAACCCAGCAGCAAGACAGCTTCCTCGTCCTTTGTGCAAGGAGGTCTGGGAAGAGATCCCTCAGGAGAACATCCACCGTCTCATCAGGAGCATGCCGAGGCATTGTTGGGAGGTTATACAGGCACATGGAGGCCACACACTACTGAGCCTCATTTAGACTTGTCTTGAGGAATATTCACTGATGTTGAATCAGCATGTCATGTTATTTTCCACTTTCATATTGAGTATGAATCCAAATTCAGATCTCCATGGTGTAATTTTGATTTACATAGTTAATTTTTGTGTTATTTTCTTCTCGATCAATTCCACTGTGCTAATAATAAAGTTTGTCAATGAGAATATTTAATTAATTGAAGTCTAGGATGTGTTATTTTAGTGTTTAAACAGTGACAAAGCACACCAAAGTGCTGTACAGGGACAAACAGAACAAGCACACAGCAACAGATTACATAACAGGACACCAAAAAGTAGCAACCAACAAAAACAATAATGGATAACAACAACAACCGCAACATGACCAACACAGTGTGATGCACACAGACTCAGCACAGATCACACAGAGCAGAAAGCCAGGGAATAAAAGTGTGTTTTTAAGCGAGATTTAAAAACTGTGAGGGAGGGGGCCTGTCTAACGAGCAGAGGTAACTCATTCCAAAGTCTTGGTCCTGCTACAGAGAAGGCCCTGTCACCTCTGCGCTTGAGACAGGTTCCTGGGACTGTGAGGAGCAACTGGTCTGCTGATCTGAGAGAACGTGGTGGGACATACGGCTGGAGCAGATCAGTAAGATAGGAGGGGGCAGAGCTGTTTAGTGATTTATAGACATACAAGAGTATTTTGAATTTGATTCGAAGGTGAACCGGAAGCCAGTGTAGGGAGGCCAAAACAGGTGTAATGTGCTCTCTTTTGCTTGTGCTGGTCAAAAACCGGGCTGCTGCATTTTGGATCAGTTGGAGTCTAGCTATGGAGGTCTGACTGATACCAAAAAGGAGTGAGTTGCAATAGTCGAGCCTGGATGTAATGAATGCATGAATTACTGTCTCCAGGTTATTTTTGGACAATATGGTCTTCAGCTTAGACAGTCGCCTCAGCTGGAAAAAGCAGGATTTAACAATCATATTTACATGATTGTTGAGTTTCAGAGAAGGGTCAAGTATCACTCCTAGATTAGTGACTCTTTGTTTCACTAACGGTGACATATGATGACTTATAGCGGTGACTTATAGCCTACGCTACTATAATTTAATATTTGGGTAACATTTAGATTGTACACCTTAAATGTGGTCCATGCAGTATTTAACACTGTTATTACCTACAGTCCTGTAATTGTTTCTGTAACATTTTAATGTCACTCTTATAATTTAGTGTAATAATTGCACCAAATGTAACAACTTTATAGCCCCCTCTAGCTGCTCTAAGAGTTCTATTAACCTAAACTCCTGAAATTATAGTCAACTTCCTGGGTACAGCAGAGCTGTTGACATCATTGTTTTTACAACACCAGTTTTATTTTATTCAGATGGCAGCTCATCTTCAGCCTAGTTCTGCTTGAAGTTTCTTCTTGTTCAAAGGGAGTTGTTCCTTCCCACTGTCACCATGTGTGCTGCTCCAGTTGGGAGATCATGATGAAGGGAAGATTCAGTTTCATCTTTTGCCTTCCAGATAGATAACTTTTACTAATTGTTTTTTTTTATATTGTATGTGAATGATTTAGCACTGTGTGATAACTTTTGTTGTGAATTGGTGCCACATTAATTAATTGAATCCTCCATACTATGCATTAATAAAGCTTTTACCATACACAATACAATGTACAATGTACAATACAATGAAGTATTTTTATTCAAACCAACTTTAAATAGTGCATTGTCTGTGTTTAACAACTATACTTCACATTACAGCTGATTACTGGAAAGAAAATGGGTGTTCAGGGTGTGTTTTGCTCTTACATTCTTGCAGCTTTTTGTAATTCAACAACTTTCAGAGATGTGTATAAATTAAGGTGTGAAGCATTCAATGCTTCTGATTGTTAAAAAAAATACTTGTATTTTATCTAATAGATGTAAAATATACCATCACACTAATACACAGTTAATCTGTAATACTGAATTTAGTGACGTCATCATGCCACTGTTTATGTTAGTAAACTTCTAAAAATCATATTCATTTAAGCTTATTCTATCCATTTTAACTTGGATTCCTTTTGAAATCCAAATATTTAATTGAGGCAACTTAAAATAAATAATATCTTCAACTTTGCTTGAAGTTTCCTCAGAAAACATTTGGGGCTGGAAAATATCTTCAGGCTTCAGTTTTGTTTCTTCTTATAAAACAGATATCTCATAATCATCTTCTTCCTGCTGAGATACAAATAAGAACATATTTTAACTAGCATTTATGTAAAACATTTGTCAGATAAGATTCCTTTTCCTTTTTGCAGCTGGGTTGCATTGAGGCGTGATGGTAAAATAATGAAGATTATTCATCTGCATTCAGTATCTCATAATGAAGAAGTGTAAACAGAATTTCATACAGCTGTGCAAATTTATTAAAATAAAGGAAGAAGGGAGTAAAAGATAATGGATGGATGGAAAATAAAATAAAAAAAACATGTATTTCATAGGAATTCAGAGTTCTTTACTTTGTCCTGCATTGCCTAAAGTCTTTGGGCGTTTTGTGTAAAATGCTGTGCTCACCTGGATTGGAGGATTTTCTGGCATTACTTTGTGCAGTTTATGTTTAACTTTTAATTAACAGACAAATAACATCACAGAACACTTTTTCAAGGGAGGCCTGGGTCTGAAGGCAGCCTAAACAGACATGTTTTTGGACCTCTCAAATTTAGATTGGTTGAATGGGGGCCACTGGTGGTCAAACATTTTTAGGACCTTCCAGAGGTGTTCAACAGGGTTCAAGTCATGGTTCTGGCTGATCCGCTCCAGAACATTCACAAAGTTGTCTCCAGACAACACCGGTGTTGTCTTTACTGTGTGCTTTGGGTCACTGAGTTCTGTGGAACAAGATTTTATTCATGAAATGTGTACTTTGTTCATTCTTCTTTCCCTCAACCCTTACTGGACTCAGAGTCTCCCAGTCACTTCTGCTGAATCCCCCACAGCTGGATGCTGCCACCAACATGTTTAACTGTTTGATGTTTCCTCCAGACATAACATTTTACGATTGCAAACGATTCAAGCTTGGCTTATGACATATTGTCACTCAAAACTTGAGTATCCTTTAAGTGCTTTTGTTTTCAGATATTTTGCAATGAGGGGAGGTTTCTGTCCAGTCATTGTGCCATAAAACCCAGTTCAGTGCAGTTCCAGCTGTCTCATCTCCACACAAGATCACTGATGGCGGGCAGAGTAACAATCAGGTTTCCTGGTTATTTCTCACTAAAACCCCTTTTCCCTTGACTCCTCAGTGTGGAAAACATTTGATTGCTGATGTAAGCATGATACAGGTAGTCTGTAATAGTGGTAGTGATGTGTATGACAAATAAAGACCCTTGAATCCTTGAAAATACAAAATTGTATAAAATTTGGTTTTACTTTGTCATTATGAGAACTGATTGTAGAATACTTTAAAAAAAGGAATCCAAACAATTGTATTGGATTGCAACTAGAGTTGTAAGAAGTAAGCTTAGAATGTTTTCTGAAGCCATTTTATTATATTTCTGTATTTTTATGGTGTGTGTTTCTACCTCTTTGCTGGTGACATCAGAAGTTGAAACATCAGCTGTTGTCATTTTGTTGTAGCTTGTCTGATCCTTGATCAATAAAGAAAGAATACTCTTCTCTTTTTCCACCAGCTTCATCACATCTTCCAATTGTTTCTTCTCCACATTTTGCCCATTGACTTCCAAAACTACATCCCCCACAACAAGTCCAGCTTTCTCTGCAGAACCACCAGAAGCTACCTGCAGGGAAGAGAGATAACAAAACACTTCAGTAATATTGTTTTGCCTTTGAGTGTATTTGAGTGGATGAGTGTAAAACTTTATTTTTGCCCCACCTGACTGATCGAAATGCCGGGTCTCTGTGGGACATGGTCTAGATCAAAGCCAAACCCCAGGGGACCTTTTTGGACTGTACAAAGTCTTGGACTGCATGAGTCACTGTTTTTCTTTGACGATAACTGAACTTCTGCAGATGCTGGTACATTTTCATCCTTCTCTTCCTCAGCTGCATCATCCTCACAAAACAGAAGAGGAGAAAGACCCAGCTGCAGGAAGAAATCAAAGAAAAACTAAAGTAGGAATATTTTTACACCAAAAGCATAATTCTTAAAGAGAAATGTCAGAACTTTTGAAGTGGGGTTCTGTTCATAGGATATAGAAAAGTCCCGCCATGATTCTTGGCCTTTACACAGGGCTTAATTTGTAAACTGATCGATGCTGGGAACGCAGTAGTGGGTGGGCCGGGGGTTGGGCGTCTGGGGGTCCTCCCCCAGAATATTTTGAATAAGGTAGATGTTATTTCCTGTATTTTGATGTATTTTAACAGGTTGTTAACTCCTTCAGCTTGACAGCCTCCCTAACCCGGGGTGTCCACAACTGAGTTCGAGGAGGGCCACCGTGTGAAGCGCCAACAACCTTGTAACCACAGCGCAAGGCAGCCACTTTAACAATTGAGTCGTGGAACATGGCCCACTCTGACTCAATGTCCCCCGTCTCAGCTGGGATGCAGTTAAAGCTCTCCCGGAGGTGTGAGTTGATGATCTTCCTGATAGGTTCTTCTGCCAGGCATTCTCAGCAAGCCCTCACTACATATTTGGGTCTACCGGGTCTGTCCGGCATCTTCTCCCACCATCTGATCCAACTCACTACCAGGTGGTGATCGCTCAGCTCCTTTCTTCACCTGAGTGTCCAAAACAAATGGCTGCAAATCAGATGACACGACTACAAAGTCAATCATCAATATTTGACCTAGGATGTCCTGGTGCCAAGTGCACTTATGGACACTCTTACGTTGGAACATGGTGTTTGTGATGGACAACGTATGACTAGCACAGAAGTCCAACAACAGATCACTGCTTGAGTTCAGATCAGAGAGGTCGTTCCTCCCAATCATGCCACTCCAGGTCATACTGTCATTACCCACACGGGCATTGAAATCCCCAGCAGAATAAAGAAGTCCCCAGCTGGTACACTTTCCAGCACCCCCAACAAAGATTTCAAGAAGGCCGGATACTCTGAACTGTTGTTTGGTGCATAGGCACAAACAACAGTCCGAGCCCATCCCCCCACCCAAAGGTGCAGGGAAGCTACCCTCTCATATACTGGGGAAAACTCCAACACTCAGGCTGGGGGCTGAGTAAACCCACACCACTCTGCGGCTCTAGCCATGGGCAACTCCAGAGTGAAATTAGGTCCAGCCCCTCTCAAGGAGAGGCACCAATGTTCCAGAGCGTCAAGATGAGCTCAACTATATCTAGTTGGTATCTCTCAACCCCACACGCAAGCTCAGGCTCCTTCCTCACCAGAGAGATCACATTCCATGTCCCAAGAGTCAGCTTTGGTAAGCCAGGGTCAGAGCACCAGGGTCAGAGTGCCAAGGCCCCCAGCTTCAGCCACTGCCTATGACATCATGCACCTGACTTGCAGCCCCTCCTGCAGGTGGTGGGCCCACAGGAAGGCAAACCCATGTTGTTCATTCGGGCTGAGCTAGACCGGGCCCCATTGGTAGAGACCTGGTCACCAGGCACTCGTTGATGAGCCCCTCCCCCAGGCCTGGCTCCAGGGTTGAGACCCAGTAACTCATGTCCGGGCAAAGGACACAGAGTTCCTTGTTCTGTTTTGTCCATCAAAAGTCTTTGGAATCGCTAATTGTCTGGCTTGTCACCTAGGCCCAATCTGCCTTGGAGACCCTACCAGGAGCAAATATAATTGTCCCCGACAGCATAGCTCCTAGGATCATTCAGGTACACAAACTCCTCCATCGAGATAAGGTGGTGTTTCAAGGAGGATTGTCTCAGTTAGCAGGTTAAAAGTTAAGGTTCATGACAGAACAAGTCCAAACAAGTATTACTTGTCTGGAAGGGCTGCCGGTAGAGTGCCTCTTCTCCCCAAAGAGAACATGTCAGCATGATTTGGGTTTGTAAAATGTCATCTGAATGAACTACAAGACTCCTGGAACAATTTCCTTTGAAAAGATGAGACCAAAGACCTTCTCATTCCCACCGGCACATCTTCCATGGAGAAAGCGGAGTCGGGGGACTTCAGGGGTGGTCTGTCCATAACCGTGGTTGAGGTCGCCGAGGTAGTTAAAAAGCTATGCAATGGCAGGGCTCCAGGGGTGGATGAGACTCGCCCTGATTTCCTTAAGGCTCTGGATGTTCTGGGGCTGTTTTGGTTGGCACACCTTTGCAACATCACATGGATATGGGGTGCGGTGTCACTGGATTGGCAGACTGGATGGGCAAACTCCCATGACCCCTTGAGGACCCTAGTGAGGGTGAACAGCTGGTCCAGTGTTCCACGGCTAGGATGGAACTTGCATTGTTCCTCCTGGATCTGAGGTTTGACCCACTTTTGGACTTGATTCTCTAGTACCCCTGAATAGACCTCACCAGGGAGGCTAACAAGAGTGATCCCCCTATAATTGGAGCACACCCTCTGGTCCCCTGTTTTAAGAGGCATTCATGTTGTCATCCTCTGGCCTTCAAATGGCACAGTTCAGGTGTAAACCAGAATGCAGTGTGTGAAGGAGACTGTTCAGGTTTTTGACTCCCTAACACCCTGGCTGTGGGCCAGAGTATTAAGGAGGTTGTGGAGACTGTTGTTATAGTGTGATACTAGCTTGTCAGGAGAGGATGAGTTGTTTATGTTGGGGAGATTTTCAATACCAGTATCTAGAGTGTCCATGTTAATGTTCTTGATATTTTGAAAAAAGACGACACGTGATAGTTTAGTTTTAGGGTGACGACAAGCGATGAGCATGATCAAAAGTTGGCAGATCAGTTGCAGAACAGTTTTGAAGGCATGGTGGCTCAGTTGGTAGAGCTGTTGCTTCTCAGCGAGAAGGTTGCCAGTTCAAATCCTGGCCTGGGACTTTTCTGGGTGGAGTTTGCATGTTCTCTCCGTGTATGTGTGGGGTTTTCTCCGGGTACTACAGTTTCCTCCCACAAACCAAAAATATGCATGTTAGGCTGACTGGTAACTCTAAATTGTCCCTAGGTGAGAGTGAGAGACTGGATGGTTGTTTGTCTCTATGTGTCCCTGTGATGGACTGGAGACCTGTCCAGTGTGTCCCCCGCCTCTCACACATTGATAGCTGGATATGGGCAACAGTGACCCCTGTGACCTGAAGAGGAAGAAGCGGGTAAAGAGGGTAAAGTGGAAGGAAGGAAGGAAGGAAGGAAGGAAGGAAGGAAGGAAGGAAGGAAGGAAGGAAGGAAGGAAGGAAGGAAGGAAGGAAGAAAGGGATGGAAGGAAGGACGGACGGAAGGATGGATGGGCGGACGAACGGACGAACAACAGTGAAAACTACAACTGTCCCAACAAGATAAGTTGGGTAGATGTAAATATGTATGTCTGATTGGTGGCCAGAAGGTCATTACTGATGTCTTTCTATCTTGGCATTATATTAACACACAAATGTCTGCTCCAGAGCAACAAACTGATAAAAGGCCTGCATTTTTATGCAGATAGACAAGCTAGTGGTTCAAGCTGAGCCAAGACCAAAATAACTTGTTATTGTCTTAAAGCTTAAATATATATATTTTTTAAATCTACATAATGCTTCAGGCAAAAGCTAATTCATACACTTTTTTAGGAATGGTAATTTCACATTGCTTGTTCTTATATTTTTACTTAATTTCACAGTTGTTTGCAGGCACAAATAGCAGCAGCAGTATCATGTTCTGCGGTGTTTTAGAACCCAGGGTGCAGACAGGTACAGGGGAATCAGTGGTAAAATAAAGAAAAATGGATTTATTTACAAAACACAAAACAGCTGACGTGGCAAGAAAACTTACATTAACTCAGGACAGCACAGAGGAACAGAAACACGACAGGCTGTGGGGAAACACGGTCTACGAACAAGGTGGAAACAAAGACGCTGAACTTAAAGAGACACTAACGAGACACAAAGTTGAACGCCTGGGGTGATTGGGATTGGGAACAGGTGAAGCAGGATCTGGCAACATGAGGGGAGAAACACTGGAGAGGCTGGAAACACAAGCACAGCAGACTCAAAAAAAAAAAAACATTAATGGAAACATAAACACCACAAAATATACAGATCCCAACAAACAGCTGGCTGAAGCAATCCAGATGCAGCCTGGAAGCACAAATGTCAATGTACAAATATAACAATGTTTCTGTTGAAATGTGAAAACAATGGTTGCGTAAACCTTTGTGAAATAGCCCTAAAAGGATTGTAGATTGTTATTCATTGTAAGACAACTCCAGCTGTTTTAAAAGAAGTCAGTAACCTTTATAGTGATGTTGTGTCTAATTGTTCTCAATAGTTAGTTCCTTTTTAGTTATGGGATCAGTCAAATAGCACAGCACAAGAAGCAAATGATCATTTAAAAATGCTGCATGATGAAACAAAACATGCTTCAGTGTTTAATCAAGTAAAATGTGTTCTGTTTAGTAAGTGATACCCACCTTGGTGTAAAAGTCTAGCCCCGAGGGAGTGATGGTGGTGAGGGAGACCTGCGTTCTACTCAGTCGCACTCTGTCCACAATGTCATCATGCTGCAGTGACTCCACTGACTCTCCATTGACCTCCAGCAAGAGCTCTCCATCCTTCATTCCTCCCTTCTCTGCAGGACTGCCTTTGTCCACCTCACGCAGAACATGATCTATTTTTTAAAACGAAATGAAAAGAGTAAAACTCTGCCCTTTTAGATCTGAATCTGTGCTATTCTTTTCCTTCTCACATGTGTTTCCTGATGGTGTTTTCTCTAGCCGAAGGAGAAAGCCGTACCCCGAAGGTCCAGGTATCAAATGGAGCTTTCTGGCTTTAAAAGGCAGCTTGTGTGAGACGGCCATGGCAGGCAGAATGGGCATTGTCTTTTGCATGTAGATCTTCTCACTCTCACTGTCTATCACCAGGATGGTGATAGCATTGCCACACTTTTTCATCTATAACAAAATATTCATTATTGCAATATAAATCATGTCTTGTTTCTTTGTTGTTTGGATTTCATTGTGGAGCTGAAACATTTACAGCATGAAGAAAAAGTAAAGGGTCCAAGCCATCCATTTCCTGAAGCAGATAGACTGCTGTCCCAGCTCTACTCCACAGACAGATTCAGGAAGTCCTTTGTCCCTCAAGCCATCAGACTCTTCAACTCCTCCTCATACTTTAAAAATAGAGGCTTGTGAATCTATTGCACCCTGGACAATGATGTATGTGTATGAATGTATGTATACATGTACATATGCGTGTGTGTGTATATTTATATAATATAATGAATGTAGTCCTTTCTACTACCTTGTGCATATGCATAAAGTACTTGCCTTTTTCAAATTTGTGTTCTGCTTCTTTTTTGATTATTTCATATGCATTTTTTCTGTATAGTTAGAAAATGCTACTGGTTGCCTCAAATTCCCCCCTGGGATGGATGGATGGATGGATGGCTGGATGATCGATCGATCTATCTATCTATCTATCTATCTATCTATCTATCTATCTATCTATCTATCTATCTATCCATCTATCCATCTATCCATCTATCTATCTATCTATCTATCCATCCATCCATCCATCCATCCATCCATCCATCCATCCATCCACCCATCTATCTGCATGCCAGCCTCCCTGCCTATCTATATTTTCTTAAATATAGCCTTCTTGTGGTGTAGAACTTCTTTTGTAATTAACTAAGCGGACACAAAATTAGTTCATCCAAAAAAGATGAACCGACCCATTTAAAATTTGAATGACGTTGATACTGTGAAGTATGTCCGAGCTACAGAGCTCCAAAGAGAGCTGGGTTTGTCATTCGTTTCACCACATTTCACTGTGCATGTGGAAAAGTTCTGTGCCATACAATTTGCTGAAAACAAAATCCCTCACATGGTATTTCCAGTTGAGCTCAAGTTGAGGACTGGTATTTGATGTATGGATTTTTCTACAGCTGTGCAAAAAATTAACTATTTGGAAATTTTGATTAAAACAAAACAACACCTAAATAGTACCGGGTAATAAGGATCTTTCAGTGCTTTAGCCTTGGCACCCTTAATAATTTGATTTGCATGTGATTACTGTTTTCATACTTACATACCTGGATTATTGAGCATGCATCAGGATGTTTTCATACTTAGTTTGCTATTACACCTTATTTTATTACGATGATACAAACCATTCGGGAGAGTGCAGCATGTGTGAGATGGGACACCATTGCTCCATTCATCCACACCAAGTGATCTCCCTTACACACCCCCGCCTTTTCAGCTGCGCCTCCTTTCACCAGGCTCACAGAGAAACGACCTCTCTCTCCTGTGGACCAGACGGAGGTGGAGTAGCAGGGCTCACTTCAACATGACAGATATTGTATCTTATCTTGAACATTGGACTTGCAGCAACTGCCAGGAGATGTATTACCTTCCAGGGGTGTAAAGCTGATACCCAGACCTGAGGCAGAATCCTTGGTGATGTGGCAGAGCCTAGGTGGTTTGCAGCCTTCTTCCTTGTGGGCTTTGACCAGAGTTTGGAGGTTTTGGCCTTGTGACACAGTCTGCTCATACTCCTCTCCATCTAGCACTAACAAGCACAACTGGTGTCCACTAAGCTTTATCTTTCTAGACACCTGAATTAAAGAAAAAAGGGAATTGTTCAAAAAGAAAAAAAAAATATCCAGGAGTGACACTTAGAAGAAGCTCACCTTACCTCAGGGTGAGGAACATCATCAATGTAGCAGTTGTTGACCTCCAGAAGTCTGTCTCCATCCCGAAGACCACTGCGCTCCGCTATGCCTCCTGACACCACATTTCTGATCACGTGTCCATTGCAGTCTCTCTCCACCCGCAGGTTAAAGCCAAAAGCCTCCCCGTCTTCTCGTTTCAAAACACACAGGCGAGGCCTGGGTGTCGACACGGAGTCTGGTTGGAACGAGGCAGAAAAGTGTTGTCACATGGAGAAAACTTTCCTCGTTTTTTATTTTTATTTATTTATTTATTTATTTATTACAAATACAGTGCCTTGTGAAAGTATTTGGCCCCCTTGAACTTTTCAACCTTTTGCCACAT